GATGCGGGGCTCGATCCCAGGACCCTGGGATCATGACCTGAGCCGAAGGCAGACGCTTAACGACTGAGCCACCCAGGCGCCCTGCGTCTTTACATTTAAAGTGCATTTCTTGGGACGCCTGGGTGGTTCAGTTGGTTAAGCATCTGCCTTCGGCTCAGGTCATGATCCCAGGGTCCTGGGATAGAGCTCCGCATCAGGGAGTCCTTGCTCAGTGGGAAGCCTGCTTCTCCCTCTGCCTGCCACTCCCCCTGCTCACGCTCTCTTTCTGTGAAATAAATAATCTTTAAAAAAAATAAAAAATAAAGCGCATTTCTTATGAACAGCACTGTTGGGTCTTTTTATCCAGTATGACAGTTGTTTTTTAATTGGTGTATTTGTCTGTTTCATTCATTCATTCATTCATTCATTCATTTATAAGTAAGCCTCACACTGGGCATGGGGCTTGAACTCACGACCCTGAGAGTGAGACCTGAGCGGAAATCAAGAGTCAAACACTTAACCAACTGAGCCACCCTGGTGTCCCTGTCCATTATGTTTAATGTGATTATTGACCAGGCAGTCAGTAATGTGTTTGATATTGTTTGTTTTCTATTTGTCTCACCTCTTCTGTATTCCTTTTCGCTTTTTCCCTGCTTCTTTTGGGTTGATTGTATTTTAATATCCATTCTTTATCTTTTCTGTTGGCTTATGAGCTGTCCCTCGTCTTTGTTTTCGTGTTTGTTCCGGGGTTTGCAATACACATCTTTAACTTAGGACAGTCTCCCTTCAAATGATATTATACCACTTTGCAAAAACTGTTAGAACTGTACAGTAGAATACCCACATTTTCTTCTATCCTTTGTGCTGTCATCCCCACAATACAGTGTTACTGGTTTTGCTTTAGGCGGTTACTATGTAAAGAAATCTTAAAACGAGAGAAAAAAATATCTTATATTGATTTACTAGTTTACCGTTTCTGGGACACTTCATTCCTCCGTTTTCATCTGGTAATGTTCTTCAGCCTACAACTTCATTTACTGTTTCCTGAAGTGCAGGTTTGCTGATAGCAATTTTTTTCAGCTTTTTTTTCTAAGTGGAAATGTCTTCATTTTACTTTCACATGATATGCTTGCTAGATAGCAAATTCTAGACTGACAGCACTTGAAAGATGTTCTGGTTCCTGGCTTACATTGTCCTAATGAGAGGTTAGGGGTCATTTTCATCTTTGTTCTCCTGTATTTAATGTGTCTGTTTCCTCCTCTAAGACTATTTAAATGATTTTTCTTTCCCTTTGGCATTTTAGCAGTTTGATTTTGATGTACTTTTGAGATTTTTCTGGGAGTCCAGTTAGGTGTATGTTAGACTGTTTAATATTGTCCAATAGTCAATGAATCCTTTTTTTTTCTTCTTCTTCTTGCAGTGTTTTTCTTTTTTGGCTTCATTTTGGATAGTTTTTATTGCCCTTCACAGTGGATGTGCTGTGAACTTGTGCATTTTTCATTTTACAGATGGTGTTTTTCATGCTAGAGATTGGTTTTTGATTACCATTCCCGTGTCTATTTATTATATTCATATTTTCCTTTAAATCTTCGGGCATATTTATAACTGTTCTCACATCCTCGTATACTGATTCTCTCATCTTACTTCTGGGTCTCTTTCTGCTCACTGACACTTCTAATGGGTCACATTTTCCCCCTCGGAATGTATGGTTAGATACTGGTTGGATGCCAAAGGGTGCTCCTGGCACTCGGCAGCACCTGGCTAGATTGGCAGATGCTGCCCGTTGACGATCTGGGTTTTGTTCTCATCTATCAGTGAAGGATGAGATTTGTCCTGGCACACAGTTCAGTCACCAGCAGATCATCGTGATCCTCTTGAGGCTTTCCCCCGGGATGGCCTAGCCTGAGGGTGTGGCCTTTCCGGGGTCTCCACCGAATGCCCTGGGTGCTCAGTGACACTTTTCACACTGTCTGGTTTGGAACTTGTTGGTCTCCAAGCCCCTTGTAGGCCCAGGTTGTTTGCAGGCTTTCAGCTTTGCCCAGCCTCCTGTGGTCGTGCCCCGCAGCTGTGCAGCTTGGGGTTGGAAGGCTCCAGGGGGCCCCTGTGTGGATTTGCAGTGTGCTCTGTCTCCAGTGTTCTGCCCTGCAAACCAGCAGCCCTCCGTATCCCTGAACTCAGCTCAGTAAGACCACCTGCCCTGCTGCACTCCTTTACTCGTGTCAGGTGCAGAAAGTGCCTCCAGAGTCGAAGGGCTCATCCTGCCCATTTGCCATCTCTCAGGAGCATGGTCCTGGCCTTCCTGTTGTCTGGTTACAGCTGCTTCGTGGATGGTCCAGTGTTCCCCTTGTTGACGGACGCTTTCTCAAATAGATCTTTTAAAAAAAAGGAATGAGAAAACTGATTATGTAAGTAATAAATATTCATTATGAAAAGAATTAAAAAGGAAACTAAGTCCATTGTCCATTTTTCCAGAACTATTAATTTGTATTTTTGCATCTCTTGTCTAAACACGTAATTTGAGGGCGCCTGGTGGCTCAGTCGGTTAAGTGTCTGCCTTCAGCTCAGGTCATGGTCCTAGGTCCTGAAATCGAGTCCTGTGCTGCTCCCTGCTCAGTGGGGAGTCTGCTCCCCACCCCCCACCCCTGGCTTGTGCTCACATGCACGTGTGCTCTCTCTCTCAAATAAATAAAATCTTAAAAAAAAATACGTAATTCGTATTTCTGCATGTTGGTATTTCCTGTTGGAGTACTCATCAGTACATGCAAATCCACTGTGTGTGTGCATTGTATGATAGCTAGACTTCTGTAACGTGGGACCTCAAGGCACCTTTGTGTTGTGTAGCATGAATGTACCACCTAACTTCACCAAACTTAGAAGTGTTAGACTGGGCCTCAGCAGATCACCGCGTCTGCTTTAATGATTTGAAACCATGTCTTCCCTGCACACAGACTGGTGTTTTAGGGTGCTAGGAAACTGGCTCGTCTCTTCATAGGGTGGTCATCTGTGCTGAGAGAGCACATACAAAACGGATTAAAATGGGAGTGGAGAGGGCCGTGTCACCCTCAGTATGCCACCAGGACCCCCAGTTAGTGCAGGGCAGGACTGGCATTGGTGACAGAGCCCCAGTCCTGTGGTGTCCTTAGGTGCCAGGCGGGGCGAAGGGCTTGCGCTGTTGTAAGGGCTTTGCGGTGCTCCATGGGTGTCCTGGGACAGAGCCTCCTGAGAACCACTGCCTGACCCACCCAGTGTGCGCTTTTTTAGGGGGCCTTGTGAGGTCCCCACGCTGCCTCCGGCCACGGCCACCGCTTCTGAGCTCCTGGGCAAGAAGGCTCCTCTGGTGTGAAGGACGCGCCTGTGTGTTGACTTCGTTCCCGGGCACCCATGGTTGGTGATCGCATATAGACCGGCCCGGCCTCTGCTCTGTCACAGCCCGGGTTTGCAGGGTGCTTGCAGAGTCACTTCTGTGAAGTCTGTCCTCTCAGGCACGCAGTTTCTGGACCATCTCACCTCACGGTAAAACCAGCCAGATCACAGTTGTCCTTGAGATCATGCTGCCCACCAGGCGGTGTGTCATCGGATGAGATCTCAAGGGAGCAGGACTCTTCCGTCACTGGGTGGCCAGTGGGGGGTGTGGCTCTGGTGGGTTCAGGCGGTTGGGGGTCGTTCGCATGAGGCCTGCTGCAAGCTCCCAGAGAGGCCAGGCATTCTGAAGTGATGTGCGGCCCCGGGATCAGAGTGTCCCCAGGGTGAGAAGGGGCATAGGTTTTGGGGTTCTGGGCAGGGGCTTCCAGTATCACTCATACCACCTGTTAGTCTGCACTTAAGCTTGTGTTTGGAGAAGAGGTCTACTCTTTCACAGCTCAAAGCCCTGGACCAGATTGTCCAGAAATTGCCTTTAGAATTCTCCGAATCGGTGTTTATTTGCATCTATACAGGTCGATTTACGTGGAGTAGCATTCACTCTTATTTTAGCTATCTGAAATACATGCCCTTATACGATATTTTCCCTTTTCTGGAAAATCAGAATGCTTTGACTTGCTTTGACACATGCTTTTTAATCACATGCTTGGACTTGATTTTTCCGCTCTTATGGGGGACCCAGCATGTGATTCCTGGGCAAATCATGTGCTTTCATGCTTGTATTTCTGGGGTGCTGGGTGTTCTTGCCTCATTTTCGTTGAGGTAGTAACCTTGGGCATGGGAAGTGACCTGAACCCTGGAGTTCCCATCCTCACTCACCTCCCCACTCAGATGGGTGCGTTGGTGTATGAGATGTGCCCCGGGACCATTGTTCTTTGAGAACTTTGATACTCTGCTAAGCCCAGTCACACTTTTTTTTTTTTTTTTTAAGATTTTATTTATTTGAGAGAGAGAACGAGCAGGAGAGGGAGAGGGAGAAGCAGGCTCCCCACTGAGCAGGGAGCCCGACGTGGGACTTGATCCCTGGGCCCTGGGACCATGACCCGAGCGGAAGGCAGGTGCTTCACCGACTGAGCCACCCAGGCGCCCCAGCCCTGTCATAGTTGAAATATGCCCACGTCGGTCTTCAGAGCCTGGTGCTGCACATGCCTGGTCGGCCTGGCTCTCCTGCTGCCCCGGCCTCTCCTGTGCCCACGGGTGTGGGACTGCCTGAGCCTCCGGGATGTGCGACCCCAAGGGTGCTGTTTGCCCCGCTTTCGCTTGCCTTTGCTGTTGTGCTTCAGGCTCTTAGAGATAAATATCAGTTTGTGTTAGATCTCTTGTGAACGTTTGACACAGTTGTGTCCATTTTAACGGGATCTGGGGTTGTCTGAATCTATTTTGCAACCTAGGAATACCTGGACGTGTGGTAGGAGTTTGACTTTGGAGGATTTGCTGAATGCAGGATTTCTGAGGAATCTTCCCCTCAAATGCAGGGGAAGGTGATCACTGAGTGTGGGTGCTGGCTACAGCCACCTTGTGTCGTGCTCTGGTGGATCTTGGGGACGTGGACCTGGCTGAGAGCTGCGTGGCGGCCCTGACCTGTCCCTTTCTTCTCACAGGCTGTGGTGGTGCCTCAGGGCGGAGGACAGCTGTGGATCTTTGGAGGGGAGTTTGCTTCTCCCGACGGAGAGCAGTTCTACCACTACAAGGATCTCTGGGTGCTGCACTTGGCCACCAAGACCTGGGAGCAAGTAAGGTAAGGTGCTGGGTAGTGAGCCTGACCTCTGGGCCTGGCTCCTGTCCTGTGTGCCATTCTGCGTTCACGGTGATGCAGTCCTAGCCCTTGGAATTCCAGGGCTCCGTGGAGCACGATTGCAGAGCCCTGAGCAGCCAGTCTCGCTGGTGACGGAAGGCAGGGGAGAGCTCACCTTTTTCTCTAGACCCTTCTTGGAGAAGTCTGGCCTGGCGACAGCCACCTGACCACCTGACTTTGTTGAAGGTGTTTCCGGCCTCACTGGGAGCAGCGTATCATCCCTGCTAGTTTTCCCGTCCCCCCTCAGCCCCTACGTGGAGCGTCTGGAATGCCGTTACCCTCCCAGGCCATCTGTGGATCCCTTTGGAGGCAGTGCTCGGTTTCAGCTTGCTGGCAGTGGACCCGTGGTATTCACTACAAGGGAGTGCTCTTCTTAGGTCTAGTTGACCTAGAAATAGCAGAGCTGGGAAGAGGAGAGGAAGGATGGGGAGAGCTTTCTTGTTGCTCTTCAGTAAACCAGGCTCAGCCATCGCTGGTGCTTGATTTCTGCCCTTGTCTGTGACATTGATAATGGGTTTGTCACATCTGTACTGCACATTCACCGCTGGTCAGTGCTGCACATTGGAAGAATGACAGAGGGAAAGTAGGGTTAGTTGGCTTTATTTTTCGGGGGTGCACATGCCCTGTGGCCAGGGCCACGCATACCACGCTCCCTGGGTACTGTCTCTGCTGTCAAAGCCGCAGACCAGAGCTTCCTCCCATGCTGGAGTAGGCGGCTGGATTGCAGAGTTCAGTCATGGTGCAGAACCCTTTTCGGGGCCTAGGACTTTGATGGGAAGAGAGCCTCAGTCCCTGGAGGCTGTGCTTGGTCATTTGATGAGGAGCCATTGAGGAGGCCGCCGAGGCCAGGCTGTGCAGGCCTGGGGTGTCCGCACCGTCGAGTCTGCTGTGTGTGCGGGAGTGTCTGTAGCCCCAGGCTCAGCGAAGCTGCTGGAGGAATTAAGCCGTCTTACTGAAGTCGGAACCGGGGAGCCTTGGTGTGTGCTACCAAGTACTCACTTCATTTCCCTTTTCATTTCCCTTCCTCTTACTTGCTTTTTGTCTCGGCAGGCACAGCAATTCAATTATTTTCATATCAGAAATTGATTTTGTTACGTATATGTGGAAACTTGGTCATTTATCCTCAATTTAAAAAGTATTTAGGCCCAGAGCACACCATCTTTGTTCCTCTTTGCCTCAGTTCTTTTAAAAACCCAATTGTTATTTATTGCCTGTCTGGCCATCTTTGGTGAATTGATTCAAGATATTTGCTTAGCATTTTTATCAGTTTGAGTAGCTTTTTGTCAGTAATTCGTGGATGGGTGAAGGACCGTTCGGGCTCCATGGGAGAGTACTGCCCTCTGACAGCGGCTCAGTGGGGCCTGTGCTCGTGGTGGCTGTGGGGATGTCCTCAGCTGCTTTGCCACTGGCACACTTTCTCATGGCCTTCAGCCCTTCCCGGTTCTGTGGCATGTACTGTGGGTGTGTTACATGGAAGTGGGGAGGGGGGCACTAGAGACACATGTCCACTCGGGGATGTGCCCTTCGAGGGGCTTGCTGTGGCCACTGTCTCCCAGCCGGCCGGGGACAGCTGCCCTCGCCTCTGTGCGACCCAGGGCTGTCGGCCCCAGCACGCGTGCACGGGGTCCACGGCTTCCGTCCTGTGTTGGAAATTATCTCTGCGAAACAGGTCCCTCGCTGCTTGAATGCTTATTGTAATCATGATGTAAGAGTTTATGGAAAGTATGTCGTAGAGCCTGTTAGAAGCTAACAGGAAACCGCACGCTGCATCCCATTGGCATTGTTAAGCCTCTGCTTTCGTCTGGACGGAGTGGCAGGGCTGGAAAAGGAGGAAGTGCTTTACTTTTCTTTGTGTCTGAGTTGTTCTTCCAGCCTTCTTTCTGGGTGAGGACCCCGGTTCTGGTGGGTGGGTGTCACGTGAGCTGTCCGTGGGGCCACGTGGCAGTGTCCACCAGACTAGAAGGTGCAGCCTGCAAGTCAGGAGATAGAGGGTTCTGTCCCCAGCTCTGCTTCTGATTTTGTTTGCCAGGAGATTATTTTTTATTTATTTATTTTTTAAGATTATTTATTTATTTGACAGAGAGAGACACAGTGAGAGAGGGAACCCAAGCGGGGGGAGTGGGAGAGGGAGAAGCAGGCTCCCCGTGGAGCAGGGAGCCCGACACGGGGCTCGATCCCAGGACCCTGGGATCATGACCCGAGCCGAAGGCAGACGCTTTACAGCTGAGCCACCCAGGCGCCCCTGCCAGGAGATTATAAATGAGCAGCTGGATTTCTGTGTTTTGCTGCCTCACATATTTATCGTTATGAGGTGTTTTCTGTCTTGAGCTTGCTGATGGGAGGCAAAAAGTCGTTAAGTGGTGTTCAGGAGACATTACCTGAGGACCGACGTCCACTTCTGTGTCTTCGATGTCTCCCACCCTGTACCATCTTGGGCGCTGAACTCCAGCCTTCCTAAGCGCTTGGTGCCCTGACTGTTCGCAGGCTGCAGCCCCTGCCCCTGCCCCGTCTGCCCCGGAGGTGGTCCTGAGACCACCCCTGCCACCCCCTCTCCCACCGTTCCAGCTTCCCACGGCCCTCCTCATGGGGGGAGGGGTGGGTCCACAGAAAGGTTTCCCACTGCCCCAGAAGCCATGAGCGCTGACCCGCATGACGTGTTTTGTCTGGGAGATGGCGCCACGAGGGCCACAGAGAACAGGGACTGGTGGGGGAAGGGAGCGCGAGCACGTGGCCCCGCAGAGACTGTCGGGGAGTGAGCAGCGCGCAGCTTGGTGGAGACCGCACGGGGGCGCTATCAGGCCAGCCGCAGATGAAGGCAGGCACCGTCGGGGGGCGGCGAGGCGGGAGAGCAGGACGCCCCCCAGCCAGGGTGTCAAGGCACCCACTGTCCCAGTGCAGCTTTACATGGGCCTCTGTCCCCGAGTGCGCTTTTAGGAACATACGCTAAAGAAACATTCGCTCTCGTTTTATAGAAAGATAGATACCAAAAACCATGAAGCAGACCAATCCATGCCTGAGAAAAAAGCCCAAGAGTGTGTCCGTGTGCATGTGTGCTCGCCAGGGGGTCAGGAGCCGTACTTGGCGGGGCGGGGTCTGCACCTGTTCTAGTGCCGCCCCGTCTTCGTCCCTGCAGCCGTCCGCTGTATTCTCAGAGCTGGAGGGTTTTGCTCATTTACTTAAAACATTGCTTTGCTGTGCATTTTTTTCATATGCATTCCAGAATCCGTTTTTGAAGTGGTATTTTTAAAAGTTCCAATGGGATTTTGATTGGGTTTCTTTTTTTTTTTCTTTTATTTTTTTCACCTTTTTTTTTTTGTTCGTCACCATGCAGTACTTGATTCGCTTATAGATTGTACTTCGGGAGAGTTGACATCTTTCTGATCCTATCTTCCTGATCAGGAACATTGCACCTCTCTCCAGTTCGATTTATTTCTCACCGGTCGGTAAAATTTACAACCGCCTATGAGAATCGCCGAGTCAAAGGGCACCTGTGTCTCGGCGCCTCTCCCCTAGCATCTGTTCCCATAGACTCCAGCCGCACTCCCTCCTTGCTGGGAGGAGGCCTGTCGCCGGCACTGTGCCGGCACTCCGGGTTCTAGTTTGGTGGTCTTTGCACACCTCCCTTCTCCGGGAAGCAGCTCCTAGACGGCGGGGCAGCGGCCCTGTGGAGTGAGTCGTTTCCTGTCCTTACTTGCACTTTGGAAGGGTTCTCTAGAGAATGGTGTGGTGTTCTAGCGATAGTCGGTGGTGTCGTGGCTGGGAGACCTGTGGGGTTGTGGCCCAGAGCTGAGGTAACATCTCTGTTCATGAATTCTTGGACCTTATGCACCAAGTAGCACCTCCCTGCCCGCCTCACCTCAAACATTGAGTCTGGTTCAGAGCACGTTTCAAACGGAGCTCAGGAATCTGCCTTTTATTTAAGCCCTCCCTCCCCACTCAGTGATCCAGGCGGTCCTGGGCTGCAGCTGGAGGCCCTAGTTGCTCATCCATTGGCCTTGGTGACTAGTGGGTCTCGTGCTTATTTAGAGCCTTGTTCATTAATGTGAACATGGAACATGCCCGCTGCCCTTTCAGGAGTAAGAAAACTCGGGTAAAATTCCTTAGCCCCTTAACCAGGAAATAGAGCAGCTGGTGCTTCTGTAATGTACTGATTGTCGCAAACTGCAGGCTCCTGGACTGTTGGCTGGCCTCCTGGCCGGGCCGCACACACTTACTTACCTCGGCTGCCGTGACTGCGAGCGTGCGGGAGGAATCCCGAGGGAAGCCTGCCTGCTGAGTCCTTGGGTAGGCTGAGGCGCTGCTCCTGGGAATGGCACTGGGTCGTTGCCGCCCTGGCGGATGGCTGCCGAGGAGAGGGGACTGCTGCTGGCGATGTGGCTCCGTCATCTGGTCTTCTCGTCTCAAAAGAGAGGCGAGGAGATTCATTCAAAATGCACGCGGAGTTTACTGTTTCTGGGGAAGGCCTCTGAGTCCAGAAGAACCCACATCGCTCGGAAGGTACAGGCAGAGCCCGCGCTGAGCTTGAGTGTGATTTGTGCCCAGGATTTAGCCCGGCGCTCTGCATTCATTTCTCAGTAAATGTTTCTCCCGGGAGGGGTAGTTTTACAGCTGAGGAGGTCTTCAGAGAAAGATCATATTAAATCGGCATCTGGAGTATATTTAGCCCCTTTCTGGGCTTTCAAACAGGTTTTTCTTGTGGGACGGCAGGGTGGATTCCGTCTTGCTCTAGCTGATGACTTCTGATTTATCTGATATGGCAGGTGTGTCCCGCCCATCCTTGTGTGCATGGGCTGGTCTGAAGAAAGTGCCTTTTGGGGAAATGATTTCAGCTTGCCATCGAGAAGAGTCAGGGCCTGCATAGGGTAGTCAGGGAAGAGCTGCTAGGTCTGAAGTCAGATCACTGAAAGGGGCGCCTTGATCGACCAGTGCCTGTGTGTTTCCTT